GTCAAGATACACAAAAGAATACTAACGCAGTTTCGATTTTTCTTCAGGGTAAGGACTGTTGATGTTACTGCTCTGTAATCGCCATCTGAGGTTAACAGCGCTTAAATGGCGGAATAAACCAGATTTATGATCTTTGACCGTTAGAAATGGTAGTTCAGATTGATATTAAGCAAGTTTCACTGCTAAGGTAAGGATGATGGCCGCTGATTTGTATAAATTAACAATCTTCTCTATGGCAGAGACCAATTTTCTCGCCTTCAATGACGGATTTTTAAAACAAACCAAAGCAGCTTCTGAAGCTGCATCAACTTCCGAATCCAATTTCCCGATGTTTGCAGAAATTCATAAGAAATCCTTTGTAAATCTGGTTTTGAAAACGAGCCCTGAGCTTTTGTTCCTCAATTTTTTCAACGGATATGTTGCCGATAATTTTATCATCAATCTCAAAGGAGATAACAAAAAAAGTCCTCAACCTCTACAGTAGCCTTTTCCACCAAAGCACTCAGCTAATGTCTGAAGATGATAAGATGTCATGATGTTCTTGACGAACATAAAATTTAGGTAGCTCTGAATTCTACTTGATTTACGGTCTTGATTTATGATCACATAATTTTTCCACGCAGATTTGCCCTGAAGCGTAAAGAGGTCTATCAGCGTTTGCTACCGTCGTCTCATCAACTTGTGATCGTTTCAACGTCGAAAACTCTGAGCAGGGGTAGAGTGACAGATGCCAGTGCCACGAAGTTTTAAGCCATAATAAATATGTGCTTCCCAATTTATGACAGACACGACAAAACAAGTTTAATCAACGCTTAGCTACGTTAAGACAAAGCGGTTTGAACTCACCTCAACTTCAAACGTGAAGTATTTTTTCATATTTTTAACAATCATGACCAAATACGGAAGTTTGATGCCCAGAGTCTTCTTCTGATCAAAAGGACATGTGATGAAAGTTGTACTTTAAATAATGAAATTAAACAACGCCGATCAAAAACTTAAACCTCACCTGACATTCGTACCGACGATCTCTATCACCAGTGATTGGATATCGCTGTCGGTTATGCGTTTAATGTGGCCATTTCGAACCTATTGTGAAGCATTAAAGCTATGACGCAATAACCTACAATGCCTAAACATTCTCAGAAGCCAAAGCATAAGACATCATTAATCTAGATACTCAGTCTTTGACCCAGATCCCTCATATATCGATGACAACAGCAATAACAACAAAAGCATGTTGAACAGAAACGAAGAGTAAATAGGAAAAAACAGTTAACTGTAATTTACTGAATGAAAACTTCTGTACCGAAATATTAAGAGAAACTGGAACTTTTCTGAAAAATCCTTTTAAAATCTAATTCAGATAATTACTTTTTAAGAAACCACAACTGAAAATAACCGTACATCATCTTTGGAAACTCGTAGCATCATTAGGACTGTCGCGCTAACGAACTACGGCATCGGGTAAATGGGTACTTTTAAATGATTAGTCGTCTTCCTGAGCAATCTGTTTCGCTCATATGTCCATTTCTCCGCCACTGGGGATACGATTATGAGAGAAAAAATTCAGGACTGTTTCGACTGCAACAGCTTATTCCCGCTACATGGTCAAATAGGAAAAGAGGGCTGGGGAAAGGAGAGTAGTCGTTCAGTGAGAGTTTAGTTTTGAGAAAAACAACGTCAACTGATGTTCAGGAACGCGCCGATTTAATATGCAGGACGTCCCTGATGAATTTTTGGGACCATGCCAACAACGTCAAAAGGAAATTTTCAACAAGTTTGGCTAATGGATTTGAGTTAATAAATTTTATAACGTTTTGATGCGTTCTAACAAAGCGTTCGAAATAGATATGTCGGATAACTGGGTTCGGAATCAACACAGAAAATTAAATTCAAAGCTGAAGTGAAGGCAGAGAAAAATATTAACAAAACCATAAAAGCAAATGGCAATCAAAGGTTGCTAATAGTCAAAAAAGCAGCAAAAGGTAAAATTTACTTCAATAATTGTTTATAACTCCGCCATGGCCGGTCCCAAGCCCGGATGAGAAAGGAGGAGGGTTGGAGACCGTGGCAAGTC